CCACCACCACCACCTCCTCCTCCTCATCATCATCATCATCCTCATCCTCCTCCCCCCTCCGTCGTCATGTCTGCGTTCTCCTTCCTCCTCTTTCCTCCTCCTTCCATCCTCCCTCCTCCTCATCCTCTTCCTCCTCCTCCTCCTCCTCCTTCTCCTCCTCCTCCTCCTCCTTCCGCCTTTGCCCCCTCGTTTTTCCTCCCGCCTCATTCATCGTTCATCCTCCTTCCATCCTCCCTCCTCCTCCTTCTCCTCCTCCTCCTCCTCCTCCTCCTGCTCCTCCGCCTCCGCCTCCTCCATCCTCCCTCCTCCTTCTTCCCCCTCCTCATCCTCCTCTTTCTCCTCCTCCTCTTTCTCCTCCTCTTCTTCCTCCTCCTCCTCCTCTTTCCTCCTTCCTTTTTCCTCTCTCCTGCCTTCGTCCTCCTTCTTCAATCCTCCTTCCTCCTCCTTCTCGTCCTCCTATCCCTCCTCCTTCGTCCATCCGTTATCCTCCTTCCTCCGTTCTCCTCCTCCTTCATCCTACCTCCTCCCTCCTCCCTCATCCTCCTCTTCGTTCCGTCTCCTACCCTTCTTCCTCCTCCTCCTCCTCATCCTCCTCCTCCTCCTCCTCCTCCTCCTCATTCAGTCCCTTCTCCCCCTCCCCCTCCTCCTCTCCTCCTCCTCCTCCTCCTCCTCCTCCTCCTCATCCTTCCTTCCTCCGTCCTTTTGCCTCCTTCCTCTTTCCTCTCTCCTCTTCCCTCCTCCTCCTTCTCTTCTTCCTGCTGCCCTCCTCCTCCTCGTCCTCCTCCTCCTCCTCCTCTTTCTCCTCATCAGCATCATCATCCTCCTCCTCCTCCTCCTTCCTCCTCCTTCCATCCTCCTTCCTCCTTTTTTCCTTCCCCCCTCTCTTTCATCCTCCCTCCTCGTCCCTCTTCCTCCTCCTCCTCCTCCTCATCCTCCTTCCTCCCCTTCCCTCCTCCTCCTTCTCCTCCTCTTCCTCCTCCTCCTCTTCGTTTTCCTCCTCTCTCCTCCTCCTCCTCCTCCTCCCCTCATTCCTTCCTCCTTCCTCCTTTTCCTCCTCCGCTCACTCCTCCTCCTCCTCCTCCTCTCCTCCTCCACCTCCTCCGCCTCCTCCTCCTCCTCCTCCTCCTCCTCCTCCTCCTCGGTCGCCATGTTGGCTCAAGGCCATCTGTGGTTTCCCCCACGCGCGAGGTGGCGACCGACGCAACACGCAGGCCTCACAGGTGCTTGCCCTGCCAGAGGTTTCTGATCCTTGCTTTTTCGCGCGTGTCCGCATGCACTCTGTTTTTCTTTCCAGTCTGCCTGCAGCCACGATCTCCCCGCAGTTGCAGCCATGGCGGGAGGCGGTGCGCAGTCTTTTTTTGTTGCCGTGCCCGCCGTGTGGCCGCAAGAAGAACAAACCGTGGGTGTGGTGCAAGGCGTGCCAAAGCTTGTTGCCCTAACGCCGTGGCAAAGGCCGTCCTCGCGGCGATGGTCCTGCATGTGTTGCTGGTGGGAAAAAACGCAGCCGTGGTGAAGAGGGCAAAGGTGCAGGCAAGGGTTACGGCCAGTCTGTCCCGCATCCACCAGTCCAGGGCGCCACGCATGACTCCTTGGAGGCCCTCACGAAACACTGCCGTGGCGCTGAGGGTCTTCTAGGTGCTGGCAGTGTCCCCTCGGCCTCGCCGGCATCCTTGTCAGCGGTCAAGCAGGCGGCCCTCGACAAGCAGGTTGTTGGAGTTCAGGCTACAGTGGTTCAGAGGCAAGTACGTTCCAAAGGAAGGAGCTGGCTCAGATCACGGGGGGCATCGGCATCACACGAAGCGTGGTGAGGAGTTCGTGGTCAAGTCGGCGCAGAACAATACAGAGATTGAGTAGCTTCGTATTCGATATCGTGATCTGTCGGCCAAGGTTGCCCCCCACCTACATCGGGTCAGTCGGCGCAGATCAATGTCGGCATTGCCAAGTTCAGCGACACCTCCGCGGCGATGGACACCTTCCTCAAGGAGGCGGCCTCCGCCGTCTAGAAGCAGAGCCTCGCCGAGATCAAGGGTGAGATGGAGTCCGTGCAGAGTGCGCTCAAGAAAGGTCAGGAGGCTGTTTGCGAATCAGAACAGGCTGCCAGGTCCTCTCCATCGGGTGCTAGCTCGAACGCGGGCAGCACTCACTCCTTCAAGTCCGACGATGACCTCTTCAACTTGCTCGGCGGTACCACGTCGACCCCTGAAGAGAAGAAGGGGAAGCTTGAGATGCTGGAGGCCGTGGCAGCCAGGTCTTGAATCCAGCAAGCACCTGTGCCCATGCGGGGGAGGTGGGGGGCTGCCCTCCCACGGCGCCGCTGGAGGCGCATGACCATGCCGATCCAGCTGCCGTTGCATTGCAGCGTCTAGAGGACGTCGGTTCACGATGTTCTAATCAGCGCAGCGTTGTCCTCCCCTCCGAGCAGGCTCTTGGTAATGATTTGGGTTGTATTGCCGAGACTTTCAACGGTCCAGGGCGGGGGGCCTCCTGAGAGGTTGACCCCGACGAGAGCGCGCATTGTCTGCATCCATGATTGCAAGCTCCGCAGTTTTGAGAAAATCGGACAGGCCAGCGCTTGGGGGATCCGTCAGGGTTGGAAAATTCTGAGGGAACCAGCCTTTCTGGGGAAGAAAGTGGAGCGTCGGCGGGCGTCGCCGTAGCAACTCGAGCAGCTTTCGGATCCAATCCCTTCCTGAACACCTCGCACATTTCTTCCTTCAGGCGCCTAGCTGGCCAGGTGCAGATGCTGTGCCAGCCGCCGTTCATCGTGGCTATTGTTTACTTGCGCTAATGCCAGCAGATGGGCGAATTGAACGTTGCTATGCTCGCCGGCGCGGCCTCTTTCCTGAACCGTTCGGGCATGCCGTTCGTTTTGGGCGGGATTTCAACGTGGCCCCAGAGGGTTCCAGAGTTTCTTTCGTGGCAACCTGCACCTGGGGGCAGAGGGTCTTGCGGCGGTCCGAAAGGTACCAAGCATTGCGAGTATGTCTTGGTCTCGGGCGGTTTGAGTAAGCGCGTCGCGGACATCGGCCTCGCAGAGGAGGCCGCCGCGTACCCTCATCGCCCCGTTCTCTTGGGGTTCCACGAATCCTCGCGCAGCCTCCGCGCCCTGAGGTTCCGCGGGTCCACGCGGGCCCTGCTATAGGCCCTCTCTCGAGGCCGCCTTCCTGGACCAGTATTTTGGAGATTCTGGATCACGTTCGGGGGCAAGTGGGTGCTAGGCGTCTGGAGGTAGCCTTTTCAGTATTAGAGCCGGCCTACGAGGCGTGTGCCAATCTCAGCGAGGTCGAGCCTTGCAACTCGACCCAGTTTTCGTTGCTTGTCTTGGCGCGAGAGGTAGGAGGCCGCGGCGCGAGTGGTGCGACCCGCTCGCCATCGATTCCAGGCCTGCTCCTCCCTTCTCCTTCGCTTCCTCCTCCTCCTCCTCTTCCTCCTCCTCTTCGTCCTCACCCTGCTCCCCCTCCTCCTCCCCCTCCTCCTCCTCCGCCTCCTCTCCTCCTTCTTCTCGTCCTTTTTCTCCTCCTCCTCCTCCTCCTCCTCCTTCGCCTCCCTCCTCCTCCTCCTCCTCCTCCTCCTCCCTCCTCATCCTTCTTCTCCTCCCTCCTCCTCCTCCATCCCTCTCCTCCTGCTCCTCCTCCTCCTCCTGCTCCTCCTCCTCCTCCTGCCCCTTTCCCTCCTTCCCTCCTCCTCCTCCTCCTCCTCCTCCTCCTCCTCCCCGTCTCCTCTTCCTCCACCTCCACATCCACCTGCTTCTCCTCTTCCTCCTCCTCCTCCTCCTCCTCCTCCTCCTCCTCCTCCATTCCTTCTGCTGATGAACAACTTCTCCCTGTTGCACCCCGAGGCCAGTTTTTAGCGCGGGCTGGGCGTTTCGCCTGAGACTTCCTCATCCTTTCTGACCCTGAAGTTTAAAACATCGCAACAGTTTCACAGAGGAAGAGCGGGTTGGTTTCAACATGTGATTCTCGCCTTAGCGCCGCGCACTTTCGTGTCAAACATTTGCGAGAGTTTCACGGGCTGAGGGCCAGTGGTTTTCAACATGTGGTTCTCGCCTCAGCGCCTCGCATTTTTTGCCAGACCTTCACGGATTGAGGGCGGGTGGTTTTCAACATGTGGCTCTCGTCTCAATTCCGCGCGCATTCGTTTAAAACATGGACGAGCTTCACGGATTGAGGGTTGTTCTTTTTCAAAATGCGAATTCTCGCCGTAGCGCCGCGCACATTCGCTTTCAACATTGCAAGAGCTTCACGGATTGAAGGTGGCTCTCTTTAACATGTGGCTCTCGCCTTAGCGCCGCGTACATTTCTTCCAACAGAAAAATGCAGGAGCTTCACGGATGGAGAGCAGGTCGTTTTCACAATGTGGTTCTCGCGTTAGCGCCGCGCACATTCGTTTATAAGAGAATTGCAAGAGTTTCACCATGGAGGGCGGCTCCTTTTCAAAATGTGGTTCTCGCCTTGGCGCCGCGCGCATTTGTTTCAGACAAGTTCGAGAACGTTTCAGATTGAGTGCAGTTCTGTTTCAAAATGTGGCTGTCACCTTAGCGCCGCGAACATTCGTTTCAACAGTTGCAAGAGTTTCGCGGATTCCCATGACCGAGGTACCAGAAATGCGGTTCTGGAGTGGTTCACGATTATGAAGGTGCAGCAGTTACGATGCTCCGCGGTGTTGCAGTCCCAAGAATGACGTTTTGGCACGACTCAGGATCGCCAAGACGCAACAGTCAGCTTGATCCGTGGCGTTGGAATCCCGAGAACAATGTTTTGGCATGCTTCAGGGTCTTCAACGAGTTGTCTTCCAACGAGGCAGGTCCCTCTGTGTAAGTGAACCGTTGTAGGGGCCTATGAAGAGGGAGCTTGGGGGGAGGGTATGTTCCAACATCGTTGGTGACTTTGGGTGTACACTGGTCCTCCTTCTCCTCCTCCTCCTCCTCCTCCTCCTCCTCCTCCTCCTCCTCTTCTTCCTCCTCCTCCGCACACACAGCCTGAAGACACCGGGCATTGCAG